TTCCAGTGTTTTCCAAGAATAACTTTATGGTGATACATGAGAAGAAGGAAGACACTTAGGAATATCACCTCAAGATAAACTGACATACAAAAGGAATAGTTAATCTGCTCTGGACATTGTGCACAAAGAAGCTTACAAATAAATAAATAAAATGATCACATTTGATCTCTAAAAGGATTTGACAAGCTAGGCATGTGGGAACCTAATATTTAGTAATTGAAAAAAATAATCATTTATAACCTTTAAATCTTGAACACATGATCAACTCAGATAATAATCCTGTGAGAAAAAGTCTTTTTATTGTTTGTTTCTGACACACAGCTGTGAGACTGTCCCGAAAATGTGATTTAACAGACATGAAAACACTATTCTGAGAACTAATGAATAAGGTGTACACTGTAGATGGCATATTTGATGTTAAAATGAAAATTGTTTTTCCTTCTGTGGCAGAGGAAAATAGAAGATGTGAATGGAAATGTCATGCTTCCATAATTCCCATAATTGTCTAGGATAATTATGCTTTTGAATATCTATATTCCTCAGACCTTTTAAAAGTGTAGACAAGTGAAAACAGGTTTTAAAGGATCTTGTGATGTTCAGAATATTTAGTTTACATTGCATGCTGTTGTTATAATGTTATGTTGGGCTATGATTCTGTTACACAGTATGATATTAATATTTTAACTGTTACACAGTTAAAAATTCGTTTCAAACTTTGCTAAAAGAGGACTTGGTACTTACTTATCTTGAGTTTCTCAAAATTATAAAAGTAGTCAGCCTTACCATGATCACTCTAAATATTTGTGCAAAAAGCAAGCTGTGCATTTTAATTCACTCATTATCATAACTAGTGGGGTCATAGAATCATAGAATCATTAAGGTTGGAAAAGACCTTTAAGGTCTCTTTCTGGTCCAACCATCACTTTAATACCAATGTCACCCACTAAACCAAGTCCCTAAGCACCATGTCCAACCTTTCCTTAACCCCTCCCCCCCATGGATGCTACCACTTCCCTGGGCAACGCATTCCAATGCCTGACTACTGTTTTCGAGTCCTAATTTCCAACCTAACCCTCCCCTGGCACAACTTGAGGCCATTTCCTCTAGTCCTATCACTAGTTACCTGTGAGAAGAGGCTGACCCCCAGCTTCTTTTCATAACTTCCTTTCAGGTAGTGGATAATGCAATTCATTCAAAAGGCAAAACTGTTGTATTCTTAAATAAAGTTCCCCTTCAATGTCTATGTATATCTATACATTCCAAGTGTGATAAAAGTAGATATTTAGATTTAAAAATGCTGCAAAATGAATATGAATTATATGCCAATAAATTGGGACTTCAGGTCTTTAGGGTCTCCACTATGATCAGCACTCAAGTTTTGTGACTGAATATTTGGTGTCTCTTTGATTGAATTTGCAGTTACTGTAAATTACTAGTTCGTGTTGGAGACTCACATCAGTTTATTCAACTGCTGATGTGTATGTCTGGCATTATAGACTACTACAGATTGGATTAATATGGAATTTTTGATTTAGCATGAGTTAGAGCAGTTCCCTTTATGACTTCAATATCTTCTTAGCATTCACCTTTCCAGTCAAATTTTCTCTTAGGTCATATAATGATGCTGCCTGCTCTTTCTAAATCACAGAGGCCTACTGATTCTTCTTGAGGTTTGTAGAAATTTTCCATTCAGTGTGGGGGTGAAACTTAATCCATGCTTTTTGATTATATGCCTCATGAAAGTAAAGTAGTGATTTGTCACATAGGGCCTGACTCCTTAGAAAGCATTACAGTCCTTTATGTTCCTACCAGATGTTCCTCACATATTTTCCGGAAACTAATGAAGTAACGTAAATATAAAAAAAGTTATATTCTGTCCTAAAACCCGTGTTAAATCATTTGCTGGTCTCTCAATATATGACTCTGAAAGATTCTTGTGATGACACTAAATTCTTTTCTCCTGATCTTCAGATGCTGGTCCAAAAATCCTAGTTGCTCAGCCAAATAAAACAGTAAAATATTTAGATCTGAAGTATCTTCTCTAATTGGGCACAGCTTGTACTGTCCACAAGACTATGAAATGTCCTGCAGTTACTACTTATCTTAAAGTTCTGTTGCTCAGATTTACTTCAGATGCTAGTTCATTTGTCATTGAATTTAAAGATGCGGGTTGTAATGATATCCCAAGGAATTTTCCATGCAAACTGCACTAACGCTTTTTGCTAGCATTTTACATTGCATCACAAGCAAATAGTTACTGAAGTTGTGGCATTTTGCTTGATGATGAATTCCACTGCAATAACCTCTGCCTTTACACTACCTACATGTATAGTAGTGCCTGGGATTCATTCAGAATCCATTCTTCTGTTGCCTGCAAGATAAGAGAGACATGTTTGTGTGATGGAGACTGCCAGCCCCTCCAAGAGGTAGCAAGAAGCTGGCAGAATGATTGTTCACTTTGCATCCTGCTTTTAACTAAAGTACTTTTGCAAAAGTGTTGACAAGTGCAACATCATAAACAACGTGATGCATTTTGTAGATTTAGCCAGTTTTCAGTGAGGAAGTTGCACAGCCCTTCTTTTGTGCAATCCTAGCGTCTGTCTGACCACCATAATAATATGTATTATAATTATAATATATATATCTGCCCAATATAATTCAGCTGTAACCTGGTCTTTGATTTTTTTTTTTCTGTCATTCCTTTGCTCTGGAGCACGTTGGAAAGTTCCCATGTTAGATGATTTTAATATCATTTAATCACTATTCATTTCAAATTCCTTCATTATTCACACCTTCATAAGCTTTATTCTCATTGCTATCTATGTTATGCTACTTTTTCTCTCATTATATGATGTTGCAAAAATTCCTTTCTCTTCCTAATATGGATAAGGTCACAAGTACCCAGAGGTAAGATATCTCTCTGTGTCAGAAGAAAATGTAGATGTGAAACAAAGTGTTTATCTACATTAATATCCACAGGGGGAATAAAGTCTGAACTAGGAAACCTGTTGTGACTTGTAGCCAAAATCAAATTGTTCATGTACATTTAAACCAACTTCAGCCTTTTAGCAATGAAAAATCTGTGACTGTGATTGTACATACTATAACCTGCTGTATATGTTATGTGCTGTGTGTATGTATACTTCAGCTGTTATGAACACATTTCCATTTATTCTCCAGAACGTAAGCTGCCTTTTTTCATTGGAAGTTTTCAGGTTCACAGTATGAATGTATCTTCTTGTGTCTTCGGCTGATGACTGGATAGCAAGCAATGACATTTCTTTTAATATGATCTGTGTGCTCTTTACATATTTGTCTGGGATTTTGTATCCTTGGTGTATTCTGAAACTGATTTCTTTCTAGAACTTCTCTTCTGGGAGGTGTGTAATATAATTTTGTGGATAAGGTACATTAAAACAGAAGTAGTCTTTTTCCCACACGAGCATATATTGTGAAATCTCTAAATGACTTAGCAGGTGGTAGTTTTTGAAGTCAGAGAGACAGTGGCCTCCAGTCCATGCTGCCATCTGCATGTGTTGTTATTTCACACGCTGGTCCCTGCAGTAACAAAAAGCCAAACCCATACAGCCACTGTGGATCAAACTCTTCCTCATGCAGGGTACCATATAAGATTTATCTGGCATCACAGCTTCACAATGAGAAACTTAATGATAGGTGACCTTATACACAGATGTGTGTGATCATGGCTTCATATTATACTTTTTAATTAATTAAAGTGAAAACATTACTGTTCCTTGATCTTTTAAACTGTCATTGATATATCAAACTGTACCAAATTTTCCTCTAAAAGAAAATAACTTTGCTCATGGACACATTGCTCCTGTAAAAGAACAAATAACTGTCTAAGGATTGGCAGCCAATTCTTAGAAGAATTCCGAGATGAGCCAGCTTTCTCTCCCTTTCCATGCATTATTACATTTAATGGAATGAATTTTGAATAAAAAGATGTACTCAACATTGTCTAGTGATAGGCTTGTGGCAAAGTTTAAGCTATTCATTTTATGGCACTTTCAATTGACAGAGTTAAGATACATCTATAAAGTCAAATGCAAAGTGGCTTCACATATTTTTCTAGGTTCCAGGATGCAAGCCAGGTAGCCATGTAGGACTGCACAGAGCCTGAGCTAAGTAATTAATCTTTTGCATCGTGACCATGTAGGCATGCCCACAAAGAGATGGGTTTGTTTACAGGGTAATAGACTGAACAAAGAATAATAACTAACCACAACTAGGGTCACAAGAATTTCATATGACACTGAGAATCATATGTAGCAAAGAGTTAGTGCTCTAGAATAATGAATCTCTTCAATTAAGGGGCAGTTTGTCATTGCAAAACTGTTCCTGTGTGGTTTTGGACAGCTGCATACTTAACCACTATTCTAGGAATTTGGTATATCATTAATCAGATTTAGATTTTTTCTTGGAGCCTTGACTGTCTTAAAGTCATTAAAATACCTGGCAAGATATGAACACATCATCCATTACTGTCCTAACATAAATGATTTTGATAAGGTTGGAAGGAAGATGAGCCAAATAAAATGTTTTCTTCTGCAAGAGTGCATATTTCAGGTAACTCTGAAACGAATGCCTAGAGCTTGCATCAGAAAAGAAATGGCCTTTGTCAGCTTTCAAAAACAGCCATGCAATTTTGTTAAATGTTAGTGACAAGACCCAAGCTAAGTCAACAAAGTCATTTTGTGTATGAACAAATTGTTCAGATTCCTTTATGCACAGCAGTGTTTATCTAAAATTAGGATAATATGAGCCTGGGGCAAAATGTCTACAGGGAAGTGGTCTCACAGTTAAACTTTCATCCTAGAGAGTGGCAAAAGATATTTGTGTTAGTTTTTGCAAGTTCAATCAATTATACGTGTTCTCCAATATTTGGAGTAGAGGCACGTCCTACAAAAGAAGCTCAGATTCGATACAAACAAGCAATAAGTAATTTGTTCTCTAATTTGCTGTGTTTATTTGAACAGATTTTTTTGAAACATTCATCTGAGCTCAGATGCCTGTGAAATGTTACATCTCTGGACTTTTCATTTCAGGTAAAATCAGATCACAGATCAATACTCTTTTTTTTTTTTGTTTGTTTGTTTTAAATTTTATTTCAGAGTACAACTGTAAAGACCCTTAAAGATGGGAGATAGAAGTGAGTGTGACTAAAAAATGGCAATGAGGAGATAGAGGAGATAGGAGATTATCTTCAAAACATTTTCAAAAAACAAAATTGTCTCCCTGCAAAATTATTTATGCATTTGCCAAGACAAATTACAAATATATCAGCAAAAACACAATACTGATATTTACTATCACTTATCTCCTATCTGAGGAGAATGTTCAGTGAATCATCAGTGTTTTCTGCAATAACACTGGTTTTAACAGATTAAAAAAAAACCATACACACACACACACACAAAAATTCCTACTTATTTTTAGGGTTATCTTTTCTTAATGGGATTTTCAGAGATCAAGTTAATACAAAGGAAAATGACTCCTTACATGTCTTTCATTCTTTTTTTTTTTTTTTTTTTTTTTTTACCTCCAGTAAGTTGCAAACTGTATCATCATTTCGCTTTTGCTTCCTTTTGTATTGTCATAGCCATTGGTTCATGCTATTTCCTTTGCATTCAGATCCTATTTTTGTTTCTCATTTTCTCTGTCTTGATGTAGTGATGGGTAGAAAAATTATGTTAAAAACATTCTCCCTAAAAATTTAGTAAGAACAATACTTCATTTAAAAAAGCAAATTCCAGCATATAGGGTATAGAAATTTCCCATCAGAGACCAGTTCATTCACAGGGGTGCAAGAAGAATAAATCATAATGGAACCTAATCTAAAGTTTCTCCAGAGCCCCTATACTGTGATCAGGAAATAGGCAAACCTTTACATTTAAAGCAATAATATAGTCTTTTTCTATATACTATACTAATGAAATACCCGAAAGCCCAAGTCTGTGTTAATAGCTAATTCAAAAAAAATGTCACAGTAAAAAACATATGCTAAGTCTCTTCCACCATTACATTGGAAATACTGGTACAAAGTAAAATATATGTAAAGGAAATAAGAATAGGGAAAAGAATTTTTGCTCCATGAGGATGCCATTTAATTTTATATGCCTCATATATGCAATCTCAGAGATGGTTAAAAAGTGAAAGAATTTGGCTTATTTTCTGGCAGTGATATAAAGCTTACAAAAACAGATGTGATGCCATTTGTCAAAAACCTGGAGATGCTGATATTTCAGATAGAAGTAAGTGCAAGTGAAATTGATTTAGCTACCTTAAAAAAACAAAGATGTAATTTTCTTCATGAGGGATGTCAGCGTTTCCTGCTAATATAAATAGGACTCAAAGGCATTCTTTCCACAATTCCTTTTGAAAATGTGTTTCTTCTGCCTACTGCCAGCATCCTTGAGTGCGTTACATTAGACTGTTCTGACTGATGTCCTGCATGCTAACACCTGTACTCATTTGTTAACATATTTGAATATGATTTTGATATTTCCTTCTGGAACCTCCAAAGGGCTCCAGTTGGGTGCTAATGCCTAAGTGTATCTGCCTGTCTGTCCTGACATGCGGGAAGTGAAAAATCATTTGACATTAGTAGGAATTGTATCCCAAAGAAAAAATCTGGGTCCATGGACTCAAATCTTCACTCCTGAAATCAGCTGGAGAATTGGATGGAGTATAATGATATGATAGAGATATTTTGACCAGTTGACTAATGGAGACAAGATTTCAAGTGTCTTTTATGAAACAGTGATTAATGCAGTTTCAGTTTCACTGTGATAGACTTGTTTCCTTATTTTGTGTGGATTTGAAACAAACCAAAATAAATTCTCCAGTCAAGCTTTTAGTATAAATTACCATTAAAAGTTTGCAAGAATAAAATAAGGCACAAGTGACAGAAGATTTCTGCCCAGGAATAAGCAATTAAGGAAATCAGTTAATAATCAGATGACTGTTTAAAATTAATAGCTGTCATCAAAGTCAGACTGGTTTAGGACAGAATATATAATTTCATTCAAATCTCTTAAGTTTTCATGCTTTTATTTTAATTTTGAAACATTAACATGAGAGTTTGTCCAGAAGTTGACTCACCACTGCCTTACCATGTTTAACAATCTACAACTCATTAGATAAGCCATTTGTGTTTATGCATGACTAATGTAAAGTGAAACACATTGGCTTAATCCGCTCTGAAAGTGACTACTACTAATCCATTTTTTAGGTTGCAGTTTAACAGGCTAATCATGTCTGTAGTCAGTGTTGGTGACTCACCAAAAATATGGTCCAACATCACTATTATTTGCTATTTTTTATCCAAGCCTTAAAAGTCATAAAAGTAAGAAGTTTAGAAACAGGATGATGATACATTGGTTTTCCCTGTTCTCATCTTCTCCTTCTGATTTGAAGATTAAGTAAAATGTTTGTTTGAATTTGTTGCCAAATTTATACAACAAATACCTTTCAGTGACTTAATAAGTCTTTTTGATAGCTCACATGTCATAATTCATAGTTCTTTGTTCTGATAGTAAATTAGTGCTCTTAACTACTAGTGCATCATGATTCAATGCAATATTCACAGCAGCTTTTAAGACTAAGCAATCGCTTGTCTAGATCACCAGGCCATGGATGGACTTTACTTGGTGAAGTAAGGCATTAATGTAAGTCATGTGGTATGTGAGAAAAAAGGAGAGGCTAACTTTTGGTCTCTGTAGCCCTTATAAATCTAATGCTGGTTCTCAGAGCAAAATTTTACATAAGTTATTCTTATGGAAAGTATTAAAAACTGTTGGGAGAAGAATGGGTATCACTGTCAAGCCAGCCAAAAGGTATGTGTACTCGTCTTAAGAGTTAGAATTTTCCTGAAGAATGTTTCACCTTGGTGGTATTTTTACATTCATAATAATATGTTTTAACTCTTTGTATCACTAAATATTATTGAATTATATAAAACTTATTTCTTATTGAAATGAGCTGAGCTTTTGGTTTTCAAAACTGATCTAGTTTACTCTCAGTTTTTTATAAATCAGGTGACTAATAAAGTTTTTCAGATCACTTAGTAAATCGGTGGCTTAGCTAGGACTTAAATGCCGAATTCTGATTTTTTCGATTATTTCAGAGTTTCCCACTTCAAGTAAAATATAATTAATATTACCTATATTCTCAATTTATCTAAAGAAACTTTGGATCATTGGAAGAATCTGCTCATAAATTTGGCTTTGGAAATCTTAGTCATATAATAAGGATTATTTTTAGTCATTACATAAGGATGCATTTATTCATCATAAGGATGTATATTCAGTCTGGTGATTGAATGCTGTAAAAACTAGAAATATGCTATTGTACAAAATTCAGCAGTAGTTTAAAAATTTGAAAATCTGATAAATTTGGAGTTTGTACCTACTTATAGTATGACAAAATTTTGAGCTTTTTTTTCTTTCTTTATTTTTTTTTTTTCTGTGCTGATTAAGGCATAGAGTAATTCACTTTTGGCTGCAGTTAGGTCCAAACTTTTCAGCACCATAAGCGTAAAATTAGGCAGCTCGTTTACCAGGCCTCACTTCAAAAGTGTTCAGCCAATGGATGTTCTGTATTTTTTATAGAGATTTCATACATACTAAGAAATTTAATGTCAGGTTCTAAGAGCTTTCTTTAGCAGAGTCAAATATTTTGTCAACTTGGAATCTGAATTCATTGCAATGTCATTATCACAGTACAGGCCTAAATATAGGCAATTTCTTCTTAGAATCCTCTGGAAAGCAATTTGCTCTGTGTTCAGAAACCGTGTTACGGAGCTATACAAGCTTGTGTGCACTGTTGTCCATACAGGGTTTCTACAATATCCTCTGTAGAAGGAGTTTAAGTCATAGGCAACACAGAGGTGCAAAAAGAGTATGTATTCCCCACCCCCTGCCCCAGAGGCTGCTTCCTTCCAGCTATAAGAACCATGCACCTCTGTAAGTAGCTCCAAGCTGGTGGGATTTATGCAGGAGCGTAGAGGTCTCGTACCTAATGGCTTAGCTGATTTACAGAAATGTGCTTGGCAGGTGGAAGTGTAAGGGAATTGGATCCTTGTACTGTATCAAAGTTAGAAGACAAAGCAGGGATTTATTGACCTAAGAGAGTTTTAGAAAGAAGAGAAAGACTGTAACTATTTTTATTATTATTATTATTAATTATTATTATTATTATAATTATTATTTATTTTAAGTAGGTTGTATCATGTTTAATTCCTATTCTGAAAGTGAAGATCATCTCAAATTTCCAGGTAGTTTATAACTGGATTGGTATGGTAGGCAAAATATGTTACTTTTTACCTATGGTTTGTTTGAAGAGTGTCTTAGTGCTCACAAAAAGTTGGGTAAGGGACAAGAGCAAGTAATGAGCAGTGCAGAGGTATAGTTTTCAAAGTAAACAGTCAGCATGGTGATAAAGGAAACAATGTCAATGTTGCTTAAGTGACACTAATGCTACCCCTTGAAATGCATATTTACAGCTAATATGCAAATGAAACAGACATAACTAGCTCTGATTAGGTACAGGACACTGAACAAATGGAAAATTAAAAAGAAGACATAGTCTTTATGTTACATAATGTCTATTAAAAAAAAAAAAAACTGGCAAAACTACGCTACTTTTGAATGGAAACATCAAGAGAAATACTATTTCCATAGTGATTTACTGGAAAATTCCTTGAAGAAAAACAATTCCTTTGCATAGAACATTTGATGCTAATGCCATAAGAATTTTCTTAGTGATGGAGTTTCCAGTGAGGTAACTCTTTAAAATGTTTCCTTTCAGTTACACTGCAGACAACCCAAATATGGCTAAAGATTATTTGAATTTTATTAATAGCTCTGGGTAACACTCAGAGGAGAGGAATGATAAATCTCAAGACTAAGTAATCATTATTAATCTCAAGACTAAGTAATCATTATTGTAGTGAAGGATGTCACAAGGCAGAAAACAGTGTGAGGCAGGAAGCAGAAGATAAATACTTCACAGGATAATTATTGTTCTTTAAGCAGACGGTGCATGG